GCCTAAATCCAGCAACCTTTCACTTGAGCCCATGGTTGCCTGTCCTGCACTCTGGGACGATGGAAAACAGATCCTCCCCTCCTCTGTAGGACAGCCTTTTAAATCTTTGAAAAGTGTGATCCTGTCTCCCCTTTCTTCTTTTCTCAAGGCTAAACGTGCCCTAAAACTTTCTGTCTTTCCTCCTTATAGGGCTTGGTTTCCAGCCCCCTGATCCTCCTTCTTGCCCTCCTCTGAACTTGGCTCCAGTTTGTTGGCAACTTGGCATACTTCTCGAAATGTGGTGTCCAGAACTGGACACAGGACTGAGGAGGAGGCCTAACCAGTGCCAGAGCTGAACTAGTACATTGCAGGATTTGGCTACTATACTGCAAATACATCCTGAAATCACATTGGCCTTTTTCGCAGCCACATCACACGGTTGGCTCATATTCAGCTTGTGATCTACAACAATTCCAAGGTCTTTGTACCTCCTAGTATGACCATTTTGTAACTGGTATAAACCAAACGCACCATTACAAGACTGGGGGGGAACTTATTTGGAAATCATAGAATCATGAAGTTGGAAGGGGCCTCTAAGGCCATAGAGTCCAACCCCCTGCTCAAGGCAGCAATTCAAATCATAGCAAATCTGACAGATAGGTGTGCAATTTTCTCTGGAATGCCACCAGCATCGGCATGCTGACCCCCTCGCCCTGAGGTCATCTGGATCTCTGGCTTCCTTTAACTTTGAGCCCATCCTTGCCTGTTCTGCACTGGGGGATGATTGAGAACAGATCCTGCCCCTCCTCTGGATGACAGACAGAGTTTGCTGGCACGCTCAACCACTTCCTCAGGTGACCACTGGTTCCTTGGCCATCCTGCTCAATGGTTAGTCTTTAAAGAGCTAGAAGGTGTCTTTTCCCCTTCTTTCGCCAACTCGGACCAAAGAGGGTTTCCTCTTGTGCAAGCTGCACACAGCTTCCCTCCCTCCCCTTTAACCAAACCGGCTCAACGACGCTCCCGGGGGAGCCTTTGGCCCTCTGGCCTCGTGGCGCACCCTTTCCCCGAGAGTAGGACCGAGGAAGGAGACAGGGGAGCCGGTCCGCCCAGCCGACCTTCTGGCACCGAGCCCTCGGCGGCTCACCTCGCCCACCTGGCCGCCCGCCAGCAGAGGTAGGCCAGGTAAGCCGGCTAACCGAGTTCCGGGCGCGGGCGGGCGGCCAGCGACTCTGCCTCGCTTCCTTCCTGCTCATCATCCGCCATCAGCAGCAGGCGCAGGCGGAGTCTCAGCCCATCCTGGCCTCCGGGACATAAAAGGCAAGGAGGGGAGGGCAGGATCCCGGCCTCCTCGGGGGAAAGGGAGAGCAGGCGCCCGCCAGGCTCGGACAAGGGAAGGGGCTCCGGCCAAGCCGTGCCCGCCCATGGGGTCCTTATC